ATACATGAAATTGTTTCAATTCCACATAAATTTCATATATCAAATATTTCACAAATGAAATTCCACATTAAGATTTTATGTATGAAATTTTCACATGTTTCAAATGTTCAAATATTAATTTTTTTGCATTCAAATTAAGCGAGTCAGGGGAAGTTTATGTGATCCCACTTACCCGAGATTAAACGAAGCGAGCAATGGCCACAACAGAACTGTGAATTTTTATATTTTGTCTTCTGTGACCGTGTAAAGGCGGATGCACACTGTCTGCACAACTTTTGCATAAGTCTGGTTTCCATTTGGTCGTATAATGGTCGTAAATAGAGTCACGATTTTTCTCAACGGCTAGTTTATAATAGTTTATACCTGTAAACCACATATAAATCGAAACTATTCTCTAGTTATAATCAGCGTATTTTAAGTTCTAAAATGTTGTATTTCGGCTGATGAGAAAGACCGTGACTCAATCTTTAGGACCATATGGAAACCAGGCTTAAAAACTGCATGCAACCTGCTGCAAGTTAACTTAAGTTGTACCATAGTTAATTGAATATTATTTGCTATAAATCTACCCTTATTCTCTCTTTCTGTGCCCAGTGATTCAATAACAGACTGTCTTACATCGCTGTATTCTACATATAAGTAAGTTTATACTAATTTAGTAGTGTCTATATCATTAGACGTAGATTTCTCGCGCGCTATAAAGTTGTAGAGAGCTTAAAAACTTTTCCATGCTCGTATGAAAATGGCTTAACTTGGAACTTAGTTAATACCTAGTTAATAGAGGAGATGATTTAATGATAGCATTACAATAAACCTCACTATCTATGTTTTTGTTCAGGTTTATGCAAAAATGTGGTCTTTCATCGTCACGTGCGCATTGTATTTTTGCTCAACCAGCCAATAGCAACGGTTTTGTCCTATTGCCCATCCATGACTTTAACAATAAGACATTTTGAACATTCCTATTGGTTGACTTGAGAAAAATACAATACGCACGTGACGATGAAAGACCACATTTTTGCATAAACCTGAACAACATAGATAATGAGGTTTAATGTCATTTTATTGTAATGCTAACGAGTTTCCAAACCATCTCCTCTATTAACTATGGTTAATAGAAGAGATGGTTTGGAAACTCATTACAATAACAATATAACTCATTATCTATGTTAGTCAACGTTTATTCCCATATCCGGACGTTCACCGTCACATGTGTATTGTATTTTTGCCCAACTAACCAACAGCAATGTCTAAGAGGCCGATTACATGGAGCATTTTCAACCCCGGGGTTGAACTCAGCCCTGTTTACCGGGTTGAAATTTCAGCCCTGTCTGTAATACAAAACTCTATCAAAATCAAACGCGCGATTACATGACAAAATTTTCAAACCAGGACTGAGTTCAACCCCGGGGTTGAAATTTCAACCATGCTTCAGCTAGCAGGGTTGAAATTTCAACCCCGGTGTTGAACTCAGCCCTGGGTTGAAAATTTTGTCATGTAATCGTTTCAACCCATGGCTGAAATTATAATGAGTTATTCGAGCATGCGTGGTAGTGACTATTTATTACAAGAAAAAAAATAAAGACTTTTTACTTCCGCGAATCGATGCCGAGAATGTATAGTATAACGTTTTAACCCCGGGGTTGAAATCGTCCATGTAATGGCAAAAAATTTCAACCCGGTTAACAGGGCTGAGTTCAACACCGGGGTTGAAAATGCTCCATGTAATCGGCCCCTTAGGAAAGTTATACCTATCCGTGACCCGAACAATAGGGTAAATTGGAAATTGCTATTGGTGGATTTGGCAAAAATACAATGCACGCGTGACGTTGAACGACCAGATTTATAAATAAACTTTGACTAACATAGATAATGAGTTACATTGTTATTCTAACGAGTTGCCAAACCATCTATTCTATTAACTATGGTTGTACTTTGTAAGTCAGGCACACAACTCGCCTATCATGTCGTATATAGATGAGTTGTTCGCTTGATTTACGCCCACTGATCTAGAAATAAGTTTTTATAGTCATTCTATAGATCGGTGTTTACACCGCGTACAACTCAAGTTGTAAGCAGGTAGCACACGACAGTTTAGACCTAGTTTGTGTAGTGTAAATCGCCTTAATTAAATCAAAATAAAGAAAAATACTGCATTAATTAAGGAACTGGTCATAAAGTAACTGCTAGGGTGGGCTGGAGGTAAATCACAAATTTTGCCAATAAGTTTGGTGACCCATCTTGGGATGTAGATAAAAATTTCAAAGCCCATGTAATCTTACAAAAAATTTTTCATGACCCACCCAATCTAAATTGGAAAAATACACTTTTATAATAAAAAAAAACTTGCAGATATGAACATTGTAAATATACACGGCACTGTATTGACATACATAATTCCACCAAGTTTGACCAACACATTGATACTGAGCTATACTCTCCAGTTGGTTGTATTTGCTATGATTCGACCACTTCTTGTTGTTGTATAAACAGAGTACTGGCTTCAATTGCATCATTTGCATTTGATAATTTGGATATAGTTTTATTTACTTTTATTATTAATATCTTTATTTTTTGAAGTAGAGGCATGCGTGGTTTTTTGTTTGGTGGCACAACCGTGGACATACAAAAAAATTGGCGGCCCATCGAAACTGCTCAAAGATTTTCCATGGCCCATCCCACCCAGCTAGCACATAACGTTATTACAACGTTGGTAAAAGGTCGTTGCAAAGTTAGATCTAACTTAACTTTCACACGACGTTCACACAACATTACTTTTCTATCCGGAATAAGAGCACGTGGTGTAAACGTTGGTTTAACGTTGAAATTTAACGTTCCAGGATGTCATGCGACGGCATGTAGTAAAACACTGACTACCGGAACACCGGAACACCACCGGAACACCAGTAGTCAGTGTTTTACTACATGCCGTCATGCGACACCTTCTAAGCAATGTTAGATTTCAACGTTGTAGCAACGTTAATGTGTAACGTTTGGACGTGACATCAAAACAACGTCGTAGACAACGTCGTCCTGACGTTAAGATTTGATATTTTCGCAACGTTCCAGGATGTCATACGATATCTTCATGGCAATGTTAGATTTTAACGTTGTAGCAACGTTAATGTGTAACGTTTGGATATGACATCAAAACAACGTCGTAAACAACGTGGTCTTGACGTTAATTTTTTATATTTTCGCAACGTTCTAAAAAAATTAAACATATGTCTTCTATTATTAATGAACCTGACAGTTAAACTATAGGTATAAAACCGCATCAGGCCATATGACTTCGTATGCCTATTCAGCTACAGGAATCGCGAGGAACGTCGCCTTGGTTAGTTTTTACTGGAAATTTTGTCCTGAAAACGTTTTATCCAACTGATTTTAAGCCAGACAGTAGGCCTTTGTATTTGGCAGCTTATCAACAACTCACCAAATATGGTAATTCTGACCATATATACGTAAAGTGTTTGCACCGCGGGCAAATTGAAAAGATTACGCCATTGTTCTTGGCTTGCGACGCAACTGAAATATATGCTGACTCTGTAATCTCATCGAAGCTGCTGTATATTTCAGAAGAACTCGCTCGTTCGTTTTGTTTTCGATGTAAGTATATATATTGTATCTGTAACATTTGAAACTTCCATGCGTCTATTTCATGTACGGAAAAAAGGCGAACAAAATATATTTATTTTGATATGTGTCTGCATGTTTGTTTGACGCCATATTAATTTACATTTTACAGCGCCTCTCTGGAATCGAAGATATATTTCAGAAGTACTCGTTCATTTGTCAATGAAATCCAAGAATGACTAATTAGTATACCGTATTAAATATTGAACTGTCTGTGCCAGTGTAGATGGGGATGCAACTATCTGAAACTACATATAACGAGAACTAGAAGAATTACGACGTTTCGAGCGAAGGCCCTTCGTAGCAACGTATTTACTCTGGAGGGTCTTCACTCGAAACGTCGAAATTTTCCTTATATTGTTTAGGTAATTCTGTAATTTAAACTACAGACTGTTATTCAAGCACAGTATTACGTACATGTATTACTAAAATGCGGCCTAGAAAAAGTTCCGTCATACAAGATTGTTCAGGTAGTTGCATCCCTACCAACGAAAGCTTGTTTGTATACTGAATTAAATATTATTGTCAATATTCATCCAAACTATAAATTGGATCAGTATTTTTAGCCTATATTATTTGTAAATGAAGCTCTTTCCTTAAATAAAATGATTAAATCAAAGACTTTAGTTAATTGTTCTAACGTTGATCCTAACGTTGTCACAACGTTCCTGCGAGTTCACAAAATAACGTTACTACAACGTTAATTTTCAACGTTTTCTGGACGTTAATCAAACGTTGCAAGAACGTTGAACCAACGTCGTGTTCTTAATTTTCAACGTTTTCTGGACGTTAATCAAACGTTGCAAGAACGTTGAACCAACGTCGTGTTCTAACGTTAATCAAACGTTGTAAGAACGTTGAACCAACATCGTGTTCTAACGTTAATCCTGACGTTGTCACCACGTTCCTGCGAGTTCACAAAATAACTTTACTACAACTTATAATACCAACGTTATATCTGACGTTGTCACCACGTTCCTGCGAGTTCACAAAATAACTTTACTACAACTTATAATACCAACGTTATCTCCACGTTCGGCGAACGTTCGTACAACGTTGGCACAACGTAATTGTGCTAGCTGGGCAAATCACTCCAACCCACCCTAGCAGTTACTTTATGACCGGTCCCTAAAGGGAATATATATATTTTCTAATTTAAAGCCAATCAACAGTGTGAAATTAAAACTAATGAATTGTTCTTCACAGAACGTTTTGCATATTCAAAATAATAACGACTGAACAGTTGAATAACTTGATGTCACATTCTAATTCTAAGAAGGTGTCGTTGGTATGAATGCAACTGCCAGAAAAAATATAAGGAGAATTTCGACGTTTCGAGCGAAGGCCCTTCGTCTGGTGTTACTAGCGGGGGTCGGGAAAATTACATGAGCTTTGATACTAAGAATATAAAATCGATCACGCGACAAAAAGAAACCAATCAGATGGGTCTTGTCAAAACAAAGTGTAAACAAAAAATGTAAATCAAATTACAGAAAATAATACAAATTAACAGAAAAATACAGCAAATACAACAAAATAGATGAAACAAGTATGGAACAAGGTAAGAATTAAAATTACTGTCAATGTCTGCTTTTGAGAGGAAAAGACAGATAGAGTTAAACATAGCAAAACGTTCGTTAATGCCATAGGGGGTGGACAGTGCCAAGTTTTGAAATGAGGCGCATTCATGTCTTTTGCAGCTATCGTTGGGGGCAGAGGGCTCGAATTTCCATATCTGAAACACTGTGATTGCCAGGTAAAATGTCAGGCAACAGGCTGGTTAGCATCATTGCCAATGACTGCATGTCGATGCTCACCAAACCTTGTCCTCAAAGGTCTTCCCGTTTCTCCAATATAATGCATGCCCCATCTATAGCATGAAATGTAGTAGTTGATGGGAGGAGATCACGTGAAATGTTGCCTGATACGGTATTGAGATTTTGGCATTCTAATCTGTGACGACGAATTCTTTAATAGAGAGCTATGAACTAGGGTTTCACAGATAATATTTTTTCTGAGTCGAAAAGAGACTAAAGGGTCATTGGAGAAAAATGGAAAATGTTTCAGGGTCGTTTTTCAAAATATAGAAATTCTTCCTAATGACATCTCTAACTTTGAAATCGAAAGGATGATAAGTTAATACTAGCTTGGGGGATTTTGTTGTTACCTGAGACGTTGGACACCTAACCTGAAATTCAGGCCCTAATTTAGAATAGGGCCTGACACAAAACCTGTCTAAAACGTGGGACGCCCACATGTTATTTTTAGCACAGTCATACAATATGATTGAAAAAATGTTGTAGATTTCATTGCACGAAAATAAATACGAAAAATATAAAGAAATTCATTTCATGTTGGATTATTTGTTCTTATATTCTCATGAACATGTCCGCAGAATGTGCATTTTGCTTTTTAAACTTAAAAATTCAAGGTACTTTTAAGAGTTCAGTTTCTCTATTTAATTTAACCGAACAGTAAACAGAGATTTAGTCAGTTCTGTGCAAGGACTGAATGCAAATAGTTTTGTTCTCTGCGATCAACTTTCCGCAATTGGAATTAAAGTGCGTCAAGAAAATGTGCGCTAAAGTCATTTGTTTCATCATTATTAAACGAGGGATCTAAGCAAACGGCTTGAATATCAAGCTTTCTCAAGGTCTCATCTTGCTGGAGGCGGATATACAGTTTCTAACGGGATAACAACAGCAAGAACGAAATTCTTTATCGTACCATGACGAAGGCGATATAGCTCAGAAAACAACGCCGGTAGGACCTGATAAATAAGACTTTCGCCGAAGCCAGTTGGCAGAACGGCAAAGACAACTTGGGCCTTGGCTGTCAACAACAAGTTTTCGAATACATGACTTTTGCTGTTCTTTCAGCGTCGTGTGTCCAAACTTCGTCAAAGATTTTGATAAAGCCCTTTCAAAATACTGTGTGTTTGATTTATTTTCTGCCATAAAGCATATTAAACAAAAGAAATTCGACAATACTATTACGATAATCACAATGGAATTTGATACATGCGTTTGACCTTGTCACATTGACCGAGCTATTTATAAAATATTGTTTATGTGAACTTGCAACCAATCAAAATCTTTCATGATGCTGATCAACCAATCAGATTTCCCGTCCACCAGATGGACGGGAATCCCACGGTTTAGATAGGTTTTGTGTTAGGCCCTATTCTAAATTAGGGCCTGAATTTCAGGTTATATATTGGACACTAACCTCCGTCGCAGGGACTTTCCACCTGCTGGGAAAAACCCTGCTATCGGCTGGTCACGTGTCTCCCAGAATCTGGGGGATAACAAAAAATTTCAATTAGGGTGGGTACCTAAGTGCGTTTTGTCATTGAGCAAGGACTGAACGAAGAAATAACCCAGAAATCATGCCGGAAATATTTACGAAATTGTATATTTTATTTGTCGTGAATACTGTCAATGTTGTTACACAATAGTAAATATCAAATTTCATTGTGCGCAGAATGTCGCTGATCAGATTTCAATAGACAAACCAGACACAGTACTAAAGCCGGTTTTCCACTAGGCGGAATTTTGCGCGCGGAGCGGAATTTTTCTTTGTCTTTTCTAATTAGTTCCACCCGAGAAATCACAAGACAAAGAAAAACTCCGCTCCGCGCGCAAAATTCCGCCTAGTGGAAAACCGGCTTTAAATGCGGTGCCCGCCTACAAATAAAACTTTCGGCGTTTCCGCCTGCATGCATGTACAGGGTGTCCCCCAAAAAAGTGACACTATAGAAATTATCCTATTGTTATAATTTGAATGCCCAAGCTCTAAGTTGATCACACAGGTGCATAAACTACTGCTTCTGGAATTTAAAATGAAAAAGCAAACCGTTTATTAGTGTAATCGTTTTGCTTGACTCGGGCGTTAAAATATTTGGACAAAGCGAAAACGTTTTAAAATGCTTAATGTAAATACAAGTTCATTAAATTCTCAGGCGTGTAATCACGCGCGTTTAAGAGCGGCTTAAGAACAATGAGATAATTTCTATAGTGTCACTTTTTTGGGGGACACCCTGTACAAGTAAAGTAATATTTAGCACGCTACACATTCTCTTGTCGGCCGCCAGTTGGTCCGTACGTTAGGACCAAAACTGCGTTTTAAAGCCTTCAGAATAAATTATGTTGGGCGGAAAATACTCATGAAAATGAGGAGAAAAGTGAGACGAATCCACTTGCATACGGCCGAAAACGAGAAAACCAACAATTCCGAAGTTATCAAGGTTAGTTTAATAATTTTGAGCGATTTGTTAAAAATACAATTTCGCTTATTAAAACTGCACATTAAAACCTTCAAAATATAATATTTTGGGCTCAAACTACAAACAAAATAAAGAGAAAAGTGAGACAAATCGACTGGTCTACGGACGAAAAAGAGAAAACTGTGAGGCGCCGAAGCGAACAAAACTGCTATATGCACAAATATCCATGTTCTTCTGTAAACAGCATACAAATGCATGCCATGTTAGAATAAAAGCATTCAAAATTCAAAAAAAAACATCCTGAAATCTAAAAATTCATTCGAAGTACACTAAAAATTAAACAGTTTTTATCAGTTCGCCAAATTATGTGCCTGCTAATCAATATTCGCAAAAATACATGCCAATTGACAAATATACATGCTAATTATATTCCATAATGTTAATTAATATTCCATCATGCTAATTAATATTCCATAAATTAACAGAAGTATTCGGGCAAAGAAATTCCCGCGCTTTTCTGCCAAACAAAAGTAAAATGAAAATGGCGGACGATCGAAGGATAAATTTGCTGCAAGACGTATTTGATCAGATTGCTCGTTTAACAGTTAGTCTAAGTGAAAATCGTCCTGTGAATCCCAGTAATAATGCACCGGCGTCAAATTCTGTAAGCATGGAACTCAGTAGAAGATTTCCTTCGTTACGAATGCTAGCCGGCCCTACATCTGTGAGCCCTGCCACGTCGTCAGCCACTAGTAACTCAGCCAACAGGGCCACATTCTCTCGCTCTAGTTCAACAAGAAGCCAGGCGAGTCGGAAACGAAAACGAACGGTAGGTAAACCATCAAATGTTATTTATAAAGATCTGGTACTCATACCAGATCCGGAGGAGGAGCAAGCTTCCACACACACGGCTCGAGTCACGCTTGAAACAGACGGGAAAGTTATTCATGGATTCCCTGTAGACATGGAGTGGGATGCAAGGTCGCTACGGAGGAAAATATGCGATTTTTATGAAAGTTTGAATATGTAAAGGTAACTGGGGCCATTCATTTAATATATACATCCCCGTGTGGACGACATTCTCTGAGCCTGAGGTGTATAGGAAAAATTGAAGAGTCACTGGACTTTTTTTTAAAAAGTTTCCTCAAATATAAATAGAAAAAAATAGTAAAATTTTCCTCAAAAAAATAAGGCCATCTGGAGAAAAAGTTTGCAATTTCCAAGGTAAATTAAAACTTCATTTCCGAGGGGGTTAAGAATTGGATAATGTGGTCAACAAGAGTATAAAAATGATAAAGATTTGGAAAATCTCTGATATCTGACAAAACTTTCGAAAATTTCTGGCGGTAATGCACCAGTCATTTGAACCCACCGACCCAACCCACCCATGTCGGGGACACCGGGGAAATTTACTATCTTTGTGTGTCAACCTTGATCCCCCAGTCACCGAGGGAAAAATAGGGTAAACTACCTTGACTTTTTTCTCCTGATATTCAATATAGGTAGCTTTTAAAATCACTATGTAAGAGCCTTTTTAATGTGACAGTTGTTTAATTAAAAAAAAATGTCCCGGAAATCTTGTATACATAATTATTTAAAGTTAAAACCCTGACTTGTACATACTTTTGTCTGAAATGTGACATATTTGTTGCTGAGTTATACAGTATATTGAATGTACAGTACATCCCACAAAATAGCCTATTTTGTGTTTTGTCCCTGTGGTTGTCAGGGAGGGATAATTACATCTCAAAATTACTCATGTATTTGGCGGATTGGAGGTATACGTCTGTGATTCCCAATAAATAAGTAAAAAATATGCTTTCAGGCATGTTATGGAAAGCTGGTGCCCTTAAACTTGGCTAATGGGGTTTGAAGCTACAGCTGAGATCATTCTCAAAGTGGCAGACTAGGGTGCGATATACCTGAGATGCACAGAACTGGAAAACGATGACAGTATTTTGATGCTTCTGCTTTTGACAACGAATGAAGGTTGGTTTGCAAAAGACAATTGCAATCTTAAAAGTTCTGGTTTGCCAAGTTCTTTACACTGAGTTTCAGGTATATGGGGCATTCAGTTTTTTCTGTGATTATTACAGCAATGCCTCAACTACAGAGGTCACACTTACTATAATTGTACCTGGTCCTACTTCTGGTCCTGGTCCTACTTCTGGTCCTACTTCTGGTTCTGGTCCTACTTAGGGCCCTGGTCCTACTTCTGGCCCTGGTCCTACTTCTGGCCCTGGTCCTACTTCTGGCTCTAATACTGTACCTACTGCTGCACGTACCATTATAACTGGTCCTACTTTTTCACCTACTACAGTTGTTGATGATGATGATGAAGGTAATATTACTAATGAAAATAGACATGAACAAACACTGGTTCTAGCATAGACTGCTTGCACCAGGATTGCAACCATTTTAAATATCTTTATGAAGTTCAAAACACTTAGTTGATTAACTTTTACATTGAGAACATGTTCAGAGAAGTAATATTTTTAATTTTATAGTTGACACAATAGATCTTACTGTTATGGACAAGTCTGTAAAAGACATATTGGTCCATAGAACAAATGTCATGAAGGATGTAATCAAAGAGTTCAAAGATAAAGAAATGCTTAATTACAATCTTAATTTAAGAGTAATTGCTAGTAATGGTGCACTTAGGTGAGGGTAGAGGAGTTACTAGAGAAATCCTAACCCTTTTCTGGCAATCCTTTTTTACCTCTTTGGCAGTAGGAGCAAAAGAAAAAGTACCAAGCATTCGACATGATTACCAAAAAAATGATTGGGAAGCAGTTGCACGGGTTTTGATATATGGGTACATTAGCACTAAGTATTTTCCACTCAATCTATCCGTGGCATTTGTAGCTTTATGCAAACTAGGGGAAGAAAAGTTGTCTAATGATTTACTACTTGATTCATTTAAGCTCTATGTTTCAGCAGATGAAAAGGAAGTAATTAATGCTTGTATGGATTGGAATTTTGACAATAACAGTGAGGATACGTTAGACTTTTTAAGTTCTTACAAGTGCTTTCGTGTGGCAAATGCAGAAAATATCAATGAAATTATTTTTCAGCTCGCCCACCAAGAAATTGTGCAGAGACCAAAATATATAGCGACATGTTGGTCAACAATGCTTAAGAGAGGATGTCCACAAAAATCAAACATAAAGCAGCCACGACTGAAAAATCGATTTTGCTCAAATTTTGCCCAGATATACCTTATTATATCGGAAAATGCACCATATATTTTTTTAGGTCAAATGCTTTTTTTAATATATTTTTTAGGTCAAATGCTTTTTTAACCGCTTTGCGAACATGCCGTTTTAACACGACCACCCTAAATCGCCATTTTTTCTGGGAAAATATGCGCTGATTTTACAGATAAATTTCACGACGACAACCGTTTCTAATCGATCTAAAACCCTAAAAATCTTGTTTTCGGTTATTCAGAGGACTGTGTACATGACTTACAGGAAATCTGAGTTACTTTTAGGAATAGAAATAATCGTAGTTTTGGAGCACACTTTCTTACTTCATTTACGATACCCTCTTAACAAAATCGATTTTCACCATGCGATAAAGCTCCAAATCGATCATGCTTCTAGTAGTTGGCTCTTTAATAAACAAGCTTTCAATTGACGTAAATACTTCTTTTGGCAAATGAATACGCGATAAACGACAGCGCGTTGAAATCTTCCGTTCTTGACGTCTTGCAAGTCAAACGCTGTTAATTTATACACCGTTGAAGTAAACAATTTAATCAAGTATTCTAAGTATTTAACCTTTCGAGAAAAACATATTCTTGAATGGGGACTTTTCGCTTTGCTAAGTTTAAAAGTGGTTCAGAAATCCCGGTATATTTGTAAAAAAAATGATCAAACATCCAGTATTTTGAGACATTGTTGACGGTTGCATGATAACTTCAGATCATTATTCAACGTGATCTACGACCCGGCCGTTTGATTTTAGCGATAACATATACAAATCGATGAGCTATTTAAGGATTATATTTGCTACTAAATTCCCCAAAAGAATTGGAACTACAACTGCTGTTTTCAGAGGTTTTGATCCATTTTGTCCATATTAATGTACCATTTTATTTATCGACTGATGTTTACAAATACGTAAGTTAATTATTAAGCAGCTGTTAGCGTGCGTGTACATGTGAAATGAACGTTTATAATGTTTATCCATATAACGAGTTTTTATTTTTAGTTTACCAGCCCTTATATTTGAATAGTCGTTTTCTTTCAAGTTGTTTTCTTTTTTATACTCTGCAAAGTTGATTCCGAAATGTAAAGGTATATTCGAAAAAACTATCGAACTTTTCCATGATATTTACAGAGAAACGTCACAGCTGTAAACCCCCCTCCCCCACCCCCAAAACGAACATATGACGTTTCTTGTGGAAAAAATCGATATGTGAGGCTTCCCTAAAACTGCAAGGTTTACACTATTGAATTAAAATCCCACAGACCACAACGATTATACGTATTGATTGTTTCTTGACGATAGTAGACGCGTACGTGCATGTTACGGAAGAGGTTATTTCGCTGGCCTCAGAGTGACAAAAGGTACCTTGGTTCTATAGAGGTTTAAAATAATAAACCTCTGTTTGAAAGCGGCAATTAAGTCATCGAGCCGCGCCAATCACCTTGAATTAGGGTAGATAGTTATGATAAGACAAGGGCGGCGCCGGGGCCGCCCATGCAGGGAGGCGGCAAAGGGAGCAATTTTCTCCGCGACCCCAGCTCAAGGAAGACAGACAAATACAAATTTGCAAGGCGATAAAATGTTTGTCGACGGAGGGGGGTAATTGTGGTTCACCGGGGCCCCAAGAGTATAATTGGCCCTGGAGCCCCATATTTCACTGAGCTGGTTTGGGCTGCGCCAGTATTTCACCGACGGGGGGAGTCATCAGTGCTCTCTTTCGATCTTTGTCAATTGGCATTAAAACCGCAAGAACTACCGACAAGTGACCAGGGCCGGATTAACGTCGCGCGAGGCCCGTGGCAAATTTTTGCGCGAGGCCCCCAAACCTCCCCCTCTCTTCTTTTTATGAAAACCATTGAATTTAAAGACACACAAAAGTGTAAATAATTTTTTTCAATATTTCAATTTATTTGCATCAATTATATATAAACGAGATAATGGCCTGCCTGGCGCAGTTGGTGGGTATAAACAGGATCATAATATAACAGCTCAACGCAACTAGATATTATATGAACACAAGTATTCCATATTTTCCCGGGGCCGTGCTAGGGCGAGCTGCCAAGCCTAGGGGCCCTAAATGCGCGAGGTCCCTAAATTCGCGAGGCACCTAAAATGGGTGTGTCGCATAGAAAATGGGCGTGTTCTCGTAAAAATGGGCGTAGCACAGTAAAGCGCGAGGCCCGCGGCATTTGCCGTATTTGACACGTGGTTAATCCGGCGTTAAACGAGCAACGAGCTTTCATTTTCTTTAAATTAAACGCGACGTGTGGGGAGACAATAATAATTTGTGGTGTCGCACTGGGCCAACATATCTCAATGCTGTATTTTTGGGTACTAGTACTTGTGAAATATAATAAGATCAATAGACATTAGTGCATCAAAATAAAGTAATTTTACTGATTATTTTAACTGTGCATC